ATACCTCACGGGGGTGGGCACAGTGGGCAAACAAACATGGAAGTAAAAGAAGATTGACATCGTGGCACTTACGAAAATACCTCACGGGGGTGGGCGCAGTGGGCAAACAAACATGGAAGTAAAAAAAAATGGACATCGTGGCACTTATGAAAATACCTTGCAGGGGGAGGGTGCAGTTGGCAAACAAACGTACAGGCCGCGTGTTATTTGCGTAAAAAATATTCTAATCTCTGTCAAAGGTGGGAAGATGCACTAGAGATCAAGAGGGTCCTGTGCTTGTGCAGAAATGGTCCTTAGGATATTTCTTTGTGAAGTGAATATTCCTTGCAGTTTTTGTTTTTTATTTTTTTGTGGTTAGGAAACAATTCTTTGTACTGATGTCATTGTCAAAACTGGGAAAACTTCACCTTTCAGCCAAACATTAGACAGGCCCATAAAACAAACAGTAATACATGTAGCTCAACCATGTATATGAGACTAAATGGGCACATCAGCCCAGGGGCAAGGATGAGAAGGCAGGAGGGGACAGTAAAGCTGGACAAATGGAAATGGGGAAGCCAAGGTCAAGAAGAGGAGAGTGTTGACATGCTGTGGGGTTGGCAGCCAGTGTCACAAAACAGTATGTGTGTTAATTGTTTAATGAGAAACTAATTTGCTCTGTAAAACTTCACCTAAAGCACAATTTTAGAACAAAACTGGGAAAACAAAAATAGGCTGAGTAATTAAGCCAATTGTTTAATGAAAACTTGGTGCAAATGTGTGCCCAGACCATTTTACTCACACGTTACCTGCCTGTCCCTTGTAGGTATGTGAGGGTCCAGTCTCGGGTCTGGTTTCGTCAGATTAGGGATTGCTTCTTACTCGTAGATATGGGTGCAGCTCTAACGCCTGATGTACTGCCTCACATATAGTTAGTGCCCAGCTGATTGATTAATTCACCAGTGAAACTGATACAGCTTTGAGGGCAAACAAGAGAACTGCCAGGAGGAGTTGGGGAAATCGTTTTTGAGAAGAGCCACACTATTTCATACAAGATAAGTATGACTTTCCTAAGCAGAAAAGTGGAAAGGACATTTTAGGTTGAAAGATAACATGTCAGTATGTAGTCATAAAAGAGCATAATGTGCCAGGGAGCAGCCTGGTGTGAGTGTGAGAGAGGGATGGGGCCAGATCAGGGAAGGAAGAGGAAGGCAGTTGTGGGAAACCAGGCCAATAAGGAAGAATTGGAGGGCTTTGCTCTTTCATGCTAATATTTGCATTTCATCTTTGGATACTGGGAACTTACGAAGGCATTTTAATCAGGGGAGTGACATGATCAGTCGTTTTTGAAGAAGAGAATACTGTTAAAGGTGTAAAGGATTGGAAAGAAGCAAGGTTTTAGGTAGAAAGGCACATTTAGCTTTTCAATATGTGAATGTGAAGGTATTAACAAATTGAGTTTCAGAATCAGGGTGAGGGGACAGGCTGGAAGTTTGGGACTTGCTTCATTGTCTTAGTTGAAGGCAAAGAACTGGTTGAGGTTGTACAGGGAGACACTAGAAGAAGAAGAAAAAAATTTAATGGAACCTTGGATTGGGCAGAAACCAGGTTGGGAAACTAGGGAAGAAACAAGGTTTAAAACAAAAGGAGGAAGGGAGGAAAGGAGTGACAAGCAGTGTCGAGTACTGTGGTGATAACTGGACAAACTCTAAGATGAGACATTCGGATTTTGGACCATGAAGAGTTCTAATTCTTGTTCCTTATGATTTGTTTAGTCTCTTTTATTATAGTTTAAATTATTCACAAGAAGAAAACATAACATCAATTTTAAATTTTCTCACAATGTCTAATAATTAGTAAGTGACGAACCACTTCTTTTCAGTGGTTTAGGGGGTCACAAAGATAGGAAAATAAGAATTTTGTAATGTGTTATATACAATACAAATTATTTTGGAAATTTATGCATGTACAGAAACCAACTTGTGTATCAAAGACCATGTTTTCAGACTGAAGTAAAATTGTAAACAGCATTCTTCAAATACATGTTTGTCATTGATATTTTAAATTGAATATTACACTATAGTGATTTTTTTTTTATTTGTTTGCATAGCCTGGCACCTGTGTTTGCTCTGTTTGTACCATTTTACTGCTCCATACCAAGAGTCCAAGTGGCACAAATTCTGGGCCAGTTTTCCATCACCAACAAGACATTGATTTATATATTAGGACTACAGGTACAGTATGCATTTTTATGTTCACGTTTCTTTAACCAGATCTTTTTCTTTTTTTTTTGGTTCGGTCTTTTTCTCATTTGATCTCCTGAAAACAATGTTTTTTCCCATAAGTTTGGCTTCATGATCTGTATCAAATGTTCAAAGGAAGTGTTACAGAACAAGAACATCAAGGTATATCAGGTACTAGAATACGTTCATAGCCTTTAGAAATCTGATAAGCGCTTTCACTGTAATTGGTGTCAGTGGAAAATATTTTTATTGTACAGTGGCATGTGGCGTACTTTTAAAAATCGTAGTGTGAAGTGGAAATAAATGAGAACAATCTAAATGTGCAGAGTGGAAAAAATCACTGTCAATGTATTGAATACAGTGTTGAAAATAATGCTTTGAAGAAGCAGCCAAGTATGCTTTCCCAACCTGAGCTTTGGGCTTTTCAAGAAGTGCTATCAGTGTTATTACTCTGCATTGCATAGATAGGATGGCACTGTCACCATTTGCTAAATGGTTCAACTTGAAGACCCCTAGAGTACTTATTGTCTGACTTCATTTAAAAAGGTTATCGTCACCAGTATGCAGTAAGTATTGACTGTTCCCTGCTGTGTTCCAGGCCCTGTGATAGAAGACACGCGTTGTTGTTGTTGTTAGGTGCTGTCGAGTCGGTTCCAACTCACAGCGACCCTATAGACACTGCTCCATAGGGTTTCCAAGGAGCGGCTGGTGGATTTGAACTGCTGACCTTTTGGTTAGCAGCCAAGCTCTTAACTACTATGCCACCAGGGCTCCAGAAAACACATAGGATCTCCAATTTCCTCCCTGTAATACTTGTCACTTTCTTTTACTCTCATAGCTTCGGATGTCCAGTTTTATCCTGCTGCTTCCTGTGGTGCCATGTGTAGCTTAACCTTTTGATCTGCTGATTAGTACTCATACCTGCTTATCCCACACATAGCAGACCAGATACTAGTGTCACTTGAAAATGCCCTCCTCTCTCCCCTTTTAACCTTTCACATTTCCTCTAACGTCTCTGGTCTGTTGTCATAAATGTTACCAATGGCTTATCTAAGGTAGGTGTTTCCTTACCACTTTTACAACCGTTTCTCATGAAAAACGTGGTTCTTCATCTCTCAACCCCCATGATTTTACACTCTCCCTTATGCTTCCTAATATGTATATAGCTTAATAGCCCATTTCTACATTTTACTCTTATTATGAGGATTTTCTCTGGCATGTTTAATTTTTGAGAGATGTTATGACAGAAAGCAGAATGGAATGGTAGAGGAATACCTTGGACCTGGAGCAGGAGACCTAAGTCTAGTTCTAGCCAGGTACTCACTAACTGTGAGACTTGGATCAAGTCATGTCACCTCTCTGAGCCTTCTGTTGGATTTATATAGTTCCTTCCAACTCTAAAGTTCTGTCAAATCTTTGAGGGAATAGAAGCATTGTTTTAGTAATTACGGAGTAGAAATTCAGTATAGCGTTGTGGGAAGACTTCAGAGCCATGTGTACTTGAGTTCGATTACTTGCTCTGGTAATTATTAACTTTGTCACTTACCTTTTCTGAGTTGCCATTTCCTCATCTGTAAAGTGGGGATAATAATATCTGTCTTAACAGGGTTGTTTGAAGGATTAGAGATAATAGTTGCTGGATATTTAGTGTAATTTGAACAGATAATAAGAACTAAGTCGATTGGCTCCTATTACTGAATAATAATTTATGTCTTCATACCTACCACCGTTGGTTTTTCTAGGATTATGAATGTATTGCTTTTGTTTTTTCCAATAGAAAAAGAAAAAATATATTTAATCTCTTACAGAAAAGAGATCCTAGTTAGATAGAAACTGCATAGCCCCTGTCACAAGAGCCATTGTATTTAGTGCTATTTCCACAGTGTTATGCAGCTTGCAGTGAATGAAAGTATCCTGTTAGCCCTGCCACGCAGCAAAAATGTAAATGGACCTACCACAGATATTTTTCCAAAATAATATAAATCTCAAATATTTTCATAAGAATTCCAGTAAATTTATGGTGTATAAGTTGATATCAGAAAGTAGAGATGCCCTAATAGCTTCTTAATAAAGTCTCAAGTCCTTTGGATGAATGATGTCCATGGTTCTTATCTATGCGGTGTCAACTGCCACCCTTCCCACCTTGAAGCGAGTGTGACTGAACCCCTTGTTCCTAAAGTTGCTGTTCTCTTCCTCCCTCCCTCACTTCTGGGCCTTCACACGTTTGCTTCTGCCTTTTCCTCTCACTATAGCAGCTTCTTGAAGGCAGGGACATTTGTTGGGTGGGTTGATGGGTGGATGGATGGGTGGGTGGATGGATAGATGGATGGATGGATAGATGGATGGATGGATGGATGGATAGACAGATGGACGGATGGACGGATGGATGGATGAATGGATGGATGGATAACTTTAATCATTATCAGAAAAGCAAAAATATTTGTTAAGGGTCTTTTAGGTATCAAATGGCTGGACAGCCAGTCATGTAATGAATGCCCTGTGCTACATGCTGTAGAGCATAAGTGAAGTATGAGATGTGACACCTGTCCTCAAGGAGCCCAGCAGCTGAGAGGAAATGTACACATTGTCACAGCATAAGTAAGCACAATTAGAACCAAGCATACACCAAGATGAGAGGCTTACGAGTTCAAAGGAAGTAACTTTTTACTGATAAAATTATTTTCTTCATTTACTTTTGTACGAGGCATAGTAGACTGGAGAAGTTTCTAGCAGAGCATGGAGCTGTAGAGCTGGCTACCTGGATACAACTCCCAGCTCCACCACTTACTAGCTTTTTGACCTCAGACAAATCACTTAACCTCTCAGGTTTTTCGTCTGTAAAGTAGAGCGAATAATAGAACTTACCTTTTAGGGTGATTCTGAGGCTTCAGTGAGTTTAATGTATGAAAAGCATTAAGCTCAGTGCTTGGCACATACTGGGTGCTATGAAAGTGTTAGCTATTGTTATTATTTCTTATATTTTTAGAAGAAAATTACTAGGAAATATTTTTTTCACAAAGTTCCTGTGCTTGTTATTATCAAGGCATCTACACTGAACAAGTATCCATGCTGGATCAAGAGATTAAATTTAAAGTTGCGGCCAGTGCTCATTTCTAGGTGACCTAGCACTAGAGCAAGGCTTGTCAGCCTCCTTCTTACCTGTCTTTTGTTATCTCTCACACTTTGTGTCTGTCTTCTCTGTGTCCTTGACTGACAGTGCCAAACTTGGAGCTTTTCATCTAGCACAATGTCACCAGTCAACCTATAGTAGTATCTTGGTTCTTCCTCTGCAATCAGAAGTACTTAAATTCCCAACCTGAAGTTCTAAAAATTAACACTAGGCCACAAATCTTTCTTGCAGAACACATGTTGAGATGACTCATAATTTTTTTTTTTTTTTTTTTTACCCTGAGCACTTGAGTCTGAATGCTTTGGAAAATGAAGCGACAGATGCATGAGATCTAATTCTAATTAATTTTGCCGTTAATTAACTGTTATTATTACTCAGTTTGCTCTTTTTTGGGTGAACTGGAATGAGAATATCAACACTGAAGAAAAGTAGCATTGGACATGGACCGATACACTTGCAGAATTCTTCCCATTTAAATTTAGAGTAAAAATGATAAGAAATTAAAATGAGACAAATTTATGTCATTACCTAAGACCAAACATGGGATGGTGACTGCATGATTTGTATGTTGTTAATTTGAGTAATTTCTGTAGATGTAGTATTTTACTTCAAACCAATTAATAGCCATTTCTAATTAAGAGTATGCTTGACTTTCACTAATTTTTCTTTGCATTGAATTGGGCCGGGCTCAACCAATCTATTTTAGGCTATCAGAAAGACTGAAATCTTGGTTTAAAAAGAAAACGCCAGTATATTATTTTCTTTTAAATAAAGAAGGCTTGGTGGTACAGTGGTTAAAGCACTTGGCTGGGAGAAAGATGTGCCAGTCTGCTTCCATAAAGATTTACAGCCTAGGAAACCCTATGGGACAGTTCTACTCTGTCCTATAGGGTCACTATGAGTTGGAATCAACTCAATGGCAATGGGTTTGTTTTTTTGGATTTGGTATATATGTATAAATAATGCTTAATGTAAATGGTTATGGTTATAGTTATGTGGTGACTAGCAGTTGAATTTCTTTTTTAGTTGCATTTTTTTTTTTCTTTTATAGCTTTTCACCTCTGGTTCCTACATCTGGATTGTAGCCATAAGTGGACTTGTAAGTGTGATTTTTTTTTCCCCCCAACTCCCTATCTCTTCTGAAAAAAAATCAGAAAAATTGTCATATTTAGACTGTAGGTCATATTCAACTGTATGCAATACTCTTTTACTGTGTCAGGTCCTGACTCAATGCTACTTCTTAGTGATTAAGAGAGTGTTTTCAAGGTAATTTTGGTGAAGGTTTTAGCTGAATTTTTGTTAGTGTTGTCATTTCAAAATTACATTAGTAGCCTAATTCAAAGGAGGAAAAAAATGACAGAAAAAGAAGAAGTCAGACTTAAAAAAATAATGAGAAATGTTCTGGTTGTTTTGTAAAAAGACAGTGATGTGAGGGAAGACAGTAAGGCTGACTGGAAAATCAGGTGGGTTGGAGCTGACGGAAGACTCATCAGGGTCTGTGGCCAGACCAGAGAGGAGAAGGGAAGGAGCCAAAGCACTGGGACAGAGTCCTCGTTGCGTGTGTTGTGATTTCTTTACCTCACCCCTCCCTGTGCTACATTTTTTATTTTGTTTTAATAATAAGCATTTGTCTTAAGCTGTCTATCTGAGATATATAAAAAGAAAATTTAGAGTGCCAATTGAGTTTTATTCTTCATTTGTGACAAATTTGAACCCCCAAACTTAGATAAAAATAAATTTGTGACTAGTGAGTTCGGGGCATATTTTTAATGTCTCTCTTGTAAATGACCAAGAATATAACAGAATGGATTAATAGTCATGTGTGAGAGATTAAAGGAAAAGGATTTGGAAATAACTATATATTCCACTGCAGACATTTTAAGGACGTTATCACACACTTATTCTTGCTTCCTGGGTAAATGACTGATATTTCTGGGCCAGTTGTTTAAACCTGCTCACCTCTCCCCTTCCTTCATGCTCTCTATCTTACTCCTTTTCTGTGTTCTTTTCATATTCAACTTGCTCCTTCGTTCTACAGTGCTGATGTGCTTCCAGTCAAAATTCTGGGGATCCATCACACTAAATACTTTCTTGTCTGCCCAGATACCTGATTTGATTCAGGATCGCAGAGCTGAACCTGATTGTGAGGACTTCACACCACCTGAGCCACTTGGTATTTTTACAACTCGTGATGACTTAGAGACAGCCTAGGTCAAGCTAATTCTCTCGGACGCATTTGGCAGGCTCTTCCCAGCCTAACCTCATCCCTGCTTGGACGACCAGCTTGCCTAACAGTTACTTAGATATCCTTCAGATCATAAATCTATAGCTCATTACTGTAATAGTGAGAGCAGTGTAACGATTTGCCATTTCTTCCATAATTTATTAATTTTTTTTTTAGCAGTGATGGTCTTGAGTCTTCTTTAATATTTTTCTAAAACATTCAAGAATTTGAGAAGTACCTTGTTTTATACCATTTCATTGTGTTAGTTTACTATTGATTCATATACCCTCAATAACTCATTAGTGATTCGTTTGTTTTAAAACACCCCACTGTCTGTCTTTATTATGTTTTCAGACTCCTGGTTTTAAATTACGTGCTTCCTGTCACCTCAGAAAGTTTCATTATGTGATATTCAGTGTCCTAGACTTGGAGGTTGCGCTTTCATCCCTGTAGTCTTTGTGAAATCTAAAATACACGTGCTGTGGTCTCAGTCTTTTCTAATACACATGCATACCAGCTAGTCAAGTGCATGTTTTAATTTTTTTAAAGAAATCAGAAGTTTAGCAAATAATTTTTAAGATAAAAATCCCTTGTTTTAGAAGGGTCAGTAGAATTCCAGTATGTTTAGAGTACAATTCCAAGATGAACTTAGCGTTTTAAAGAATTCCATTGATAATAAACCTCTCTGAGCCAATTGAATTTTCACCTTGTACAGTAATTAATTCAGCCTTCCTACTATGACTGCTACTATTGACTTCCAGCTGTGGTCATGAATTTGATAAGTCTTCGTATCAGCCTTGTTCTTTTTTTTTGTCCCACCATAATCAAATGGCACTAACCATGTCTACTTAAAATAATTGATAGAAATGATACTCACAACCACTTTTCCTTCATTCTATATGGTAAATGTTGCTGCTGGTTTGGACTTAATGAATATTTTGTTATTTTTGAATATTTTTTCCAGAAAAGTCACGTTTTTATTGTGACATATTTAATAGAATATGGCATACTGTAGATATGGATAATTGCATAAGGAGGATATGAAGATTGTTTGTGAATGTCTGGTTTATATACCACTCATTATAGGATCAAAGCCTGAGATTTAAAAAGCTGAAGTTTGCCTCTTCCAGATGTCTCTTGCTCAGCGTGACTCTCTCCACGTAGATGTCTAGTGACTTCCCTTTTTTTTGTTTTTTTTTTTTTGATTTTCATGCTGAATAAAATGCTAGATTTTTACTCCCAAAAAGAAATGGCACAGATGGTATTCACTGTTTTAGGGGAGTGTTCCAAAACCCGTTGATTAAATTTCATCTTTTAGGGTTAAAACCAAAAATCGACCTAACATACTGTGTGTTGTATGACGGAAGTACTTTTATTTCAATCTGGCAGTTATGTGTTTTTTAGGAGAAAGAGCTTTGTTTAAAAAAGACACTTGTGTAAAACATAAGTCATTTTGTTATCTGCTGCCATGGAAACCAAACACTTAACCCATGTGTTTCTGGAAAGCTGCCAGCTCTGGGTTTCTTTCTTTCTTTCTTTATTCATTTATTTTGGTTAGGCTAGTTTTTATCTCTTCTTGCGTTGCTCTTTCTTTCATGATTATAAATATGTCTCTGAGTATATAACTTTAAAAAGTCCCACTGATTAAAAGAGGAGGAGGTTGATGAATTATATCAGTATAGTATTTTGCTAGGTGGTGGTTGTATGTTGTCAAATCTTAGAAGACCACTTTTTTTTAAGTAATTTATTTTTGTTGTTGATGTCGTTAACAGTGTACACAGCAGAACATATACCAATTCGACAATTTCTACGTGTACAATTCAGTGCCATTGATTACATTCTTCAAGTTGTGGTGCCAGTCTCACCTTCCTTTTTTGAATTAATTAACATGAACTCACTGCCCCCTAAGTTTGTTCTCTAACCTTTTCAGTTGCTGTTGTCAATTTGATCCCACATAGATCTTTAGAAGAGCACAGTGCTCAAGGCTGACATTCTTTACTGATTAAGAGAAGCCCACTTTCTGTCTTCAGTGATATCACAGAAAAGAATGGGGACTAAATTGTTTTCCTGGATTGAGAGAAAACATGGTTTTTAGATTACCAGAAACAATAATAAGTTCATTTGCCCAGGACAGCTGTCACTTTTTAATTCCATGTTGTCCGTCAGATGCCATCTGCTGCCCAGGTAGGGTATGGGCATTTGGTTGTGCTTAAAGTTTACTTTTGATATTATTCACTTGCATCATTTAGAAGTGTTTTTGTGTTGCCTAGTTCCTCCTTTGACAATTCTGATTTTTAATATCATCATTTAATATTTCAAATATAATTGTTTTCATGAAAGGTATAAAATTGTAATTGGAAAGCTTGGTGATAGTAGCCTAGTGAAATATTTCAGTTTAAGCAAGTACATCAAAAATTCTAGTGTACAGCTGCTTCCATCATATTAACACCATCATGTTTAATGGTGAGGTCTTCACAAATTGAGGCCACTCTTCATATAGCCACAGTTCCATTAGTCTTGTTATAAATTGTTAATCCTTTCTTTTCCTTAAAGAAAACTTTGCTTGCTTCTTATTGAACTTTAAATTCTTTTTCTGGTTCTGCAGAAAGCCTTTGAGCCATCCGTATCCCACCACTTCTTCATTTTCAGCCGTTTTATGAATCATAGTAATGAGTCACTGCCACTGGGATGTACCCTAATTCTCAAAAGCTGAAGTCTCAGTCTTGGGCTGATTCTCGCATGATTAAAATAGAAAGAGCCTGCTTTTTACCAATTTTCTCTTTTTACAATCCATGTATTTATAATTCTTTGGTCCTCTTTCAAGCTTTCTGAGAGTGAGCTAACAGACGTGCCGGCATTTCTCAGACTCTAGCATCTCTGCTTTAGCAGCCCTTTTTCTGTCTGCCCATTTCCTGAGTTTGTTCTATAGTGTATGTAGACTTGATTATCTTGTGATTAAGAAATTTAAATGTGAAAAAAAAGTCTAGTCTACCCAGTAGTAAGATTAGAAACGTAGTTTGACGCGAGATTACTTAGGACTATGGATGTGGTCTGAGTTTGGATTTTTTTCTGTAGGCAGTGGGGATCTTTAATTGTTTTTGAACAAAAGAGCTTCATGATGGTGCAAGATTACAGAAGTTTCATTAGAATCTAAGTCATACCGAGAAGGAGAAGAAAAGTGAGCAATCACGAAGGAGTCAGGATGGCTCGTTTGTGGTCCGTGATTTGTGTTTCCCTCATCCCTTCACAATAGTTTTAAAAACTGAAAACAAAACATTGTTTTATAATAACTGTTTAAAAAAAAAAAGCATCAAACCTTATGTTGATTGTCTTTCCAGGTTACAGTGTGATATTACGGGGAAAGATTATGGAAATAGCATCATCTGCTATGGAAACTTGAATCTCTGAACTGGTTTCTGGGTGAAAGATAATGGTGTGTTGGGTCCTTTGTGCCTTTCTCTGCTTTTGTATGTTTTTCTCTTCTCTTCGTGGTTCCTTTTCTTCTCCTCCTTTTTTTTCCTTCCCATAGATTTCTTCTCTGGATTGACCAAAGAAGGGCACAGGGTAGCAGGTCAGATAACTCATTTGATACCCAAAGCTTCCAGTTAAACTTTGGGAATTTAGATTATTTTCCTAGCAGTCCATTGAAAATGAGGACAGAGGCTTCAAGAAGTCAAGGCTGGTTGAAGCTATGAGGTTAGTTGCGCCTGTGAAAGGATCAAGTGTAGAAGTAGAAGAGGACCAGTAGATCTGTAGGAAACATTCATATTTAGAGGGTGCTTTCACACTTTTATAATTGAAAAAGTAATTCTAACCCCTTATCCCAACACTGAAATGAGTGCTTATTGCTCCATTCTGCGTACCACACTGCAGCC